GTGTATTTACATGTTCCTGAATTTGAATAATCAATTGTTGTATTTGCTATTGTATTCTATTTGATATACAGTATTTTAACCGAATATCATTCATTTTATGAATGGCGAAAGAACACTTAATTTCCCACTAATTCACAAATATTCCTGTCAATATTTTAGACTATAGTTCGATTTTTAAGCTATATTATTAAAGATGGAAGAACATTTTGTGGTGCAGTCTATCCAACTTAAGAATTTTTGATGGGGCTGGGTTAATTGCTTATTTCTCTGTCTAATCTGTTAAAATCTGTTTTTTTTTATTAATGTAGTTATTGTTTTGAGTTAACTTTTGTGTTACTGCTGCATTTTTTTTTTTTAATTTTGAGTTGCAATCCAGTAAATTTTTCATTCCGTCATTTTACATTAAACAAATTTCTTGTGAACATGCTCAATTCAATTCAAATTCCAACTATAAACTGAAAGGGAGACTGAATTTCGTCCAACCCTGCTTAAATCCTCACCACTGACTGACTCAGCAGAAGTTCGTGATCACACAACAAGCAGATAAAACTTGTGAATCCAATGCAAGGGTCATTTTTTTGTGGGCATTTGTGTGGGAACTGTATGCGAAAAAACGGTGCTAAGTGTATGAAGACCACGGGTGTTTTCCTGAGGTCTTTGAATGTCTCATCTTATTACAGGGTATTTGCTTGGTCGAAAGGTTAATGACAGACTGTGGGAGGGCGAGAGTTAGAACTGTGCCCTTCCTAAGCATGACTCACACACTCCAAGCGGCTTATGAAAAGATCATAATTCACTCCTCATTGTCAGGTTTAACGGTATTTTAGCGCCATTCACAAAGTCCCGCCTCTATGCTCTTTTACATCAAAGAGCATTTGGGTAACTAGGGCAACCGCAAAGTCCCCAAACAATACACAATACAGAGAACACGCCCACATGTTCCGCCGGCTCAAAGCCTGGCACCATTACGGAGTCTGATGCCACACAGCCTGAGGGTCAGGTGCCCTAATACCATAACATCGATACCAATCCCACCCTGCTATCCAGACCCAAACAAATATGTTCCCGAATATCTGGCTAATCGGAAGAGAGTGTAGAGATTTAATAATAATAATTCATTACATTTATATAGTGCATTTCTAGGCACTCAAAGCACTTTACATTGTCAGGGGGATCTCCTCATCCACCACCAGTGTGCAGCATCCACCTGGATGATGCGACGGCAGCCATAGTGTGCCAGAACGCCCACCACACACCAGCTTATTGGTGGAGAGGAAACAGAGTGATGAAGCCAATCAGCAGATATGGGGATGATTAGGAGGCCATAATGGTCAGGGGCCAATGGGCAAATTTGGCCAGGATGCCAGGGTTACACCCTTACTCTTTTTCGAAAGACATTCTGGGATTTTTAATGACCACAGAGAGTCAGGACCTCAGATTAACGTCTCATCCGAAGGATGGTGCTTGTTGACAGTATAGTGTCCCCCGTCACTATACTGGGGAGTTAGGACCCACACAGATCACAGGGTGAGCACCCCCTGCTGGCCTCACTAACACCTCTTCCAACAGCAACCTAGTTTTCCCAAGAGGTCTCCCATCCAGGTACTGGTCAGCCTCAACCCTGCTTAGCTTCAATGGGCAACCAGTCTTGGGCTACAGGGTGATATGGCTGCCGGCCGATTTGGGATGCAGATCCAGCATCCTTTGATAAGGCAAATACATGAGGTGTCTTCCATAAATAGAGCCATAGCCCCTGCTCTTTGGAGTATGTCTGACTCAAAGCTTTAGTTGGCTGTTCTTCAGGACAGATTCTGCTGCCAAAAATAGGGATGGATGGCTCAGCTCAGCCAGCACTGTCATTAGGACCACTGCCCTCACATTGACACACCCCCAGTACTTCTTCCTGGGAGACCCTGTCCAGATCTGACAGGTCCAAACCAGCTGAGTCACATGTCTCTTCTGAAACAAACACACATACACACACGCATAGACATACATTTGACTGGTTTATCTCCACCAGCTCCAAAAATATCCTGCCATGCGCCCACCAGGGTTAAGCACTCAGAACAAGTTTGTACCACAGTAAAGGGGTTTATACACACACGAGGGAGTGATTGAGAAACAGAGAAAGACAGAATGAAGGACAAAGTAGACTCATCGTGACTATGCCTAAGTCAGAATGAAACTCTGTATGCACTGGGGATGCACAACATGTCAGCACCACATTAGAGTTTTTTTTTTACTTAACAGCATTGATAGTTATTTGGATATATAATTGTTAATGCTCATTTCCTCTAGAGGAAATTACCTGTCATCAAATGCTCACTAAAGACAATCTTTAAAAACGCTTAGAATCTAATACTATTACATGCAATTCACACAACCCTACAGAGTATAATCGGTTTGGAGAATGGATGGATGGAGTACAGCAAATCTTAAAATATCCATTTTTCATTTAAAACCACTAATTTAATTTTTTTATGATTTTATTTTTAATTTTAAACTAAATAGTTAAGAATTTTAATAGATGCTATTTATTCCTTATCAGTCATAAGATGAAAATAATTATTGGCTTCACTATCTGTATCAGTATCGGACAAAATTTTAATATTGGTGCATCCTTAGTATGCACTACAGTATATATATCTATCAAGTGATTTGCTATATCTAGGAAATTATAATTAAAGGATTAGTTCACTTCTGAATTAAAATTTCCTCATAATATTCTCATCCCCATGTCATCCAAGATGTTCACGTCTTTCTTTCTTCAGTCGAAAAGAAATTAAGGTTTTTGAGGAAAGCATTCCAGGGGTTTTCTCTGTATAGTGGACTTCAGTGGGGTTCACTGGGTGGAAGGTCCAAATTGTAGCTTCAGTGCAGCTTCAAAGCATTCTACACGATCCCAGACGAGGAAGAAGGTTCTTATCTAGCGAAACGATTCAAAATTTATTTACTTTTTGACCTCAAACGCTCATCTTGTCTAATTCTGCGTGAACTCTGTGCATTCCGGTTCATGACAATTAGGGTATATCGAAAAACTCCCATCTCATTTTCTCCTCCAACTTCAAAATCGTTCTAAATTGTCCTACATCGCTGTTTTACCGTTTCTTGTAAAGGGCGTTTGACCTTCTTTGCACGTTCACTTTGTAAACACTGGGTCAGTACTTCTGCAGCGATGTAGGACGATTTTGAAGTTGGAGGAGAAAATGCGATGGGAGTTTTTCGACCTACCCTAACTGTTTCGAATGGGACTGCACAGAGTACACATACGCATTGCAGAGCTATACAAGACAAGCGTTTGAGGTTTAAAAATATATAATTTTTATTCTTTTTTAGAAAATGACCGATCGTTTAGCTAGATAAGACCCTTATTCCTCGTCTGGGGTCATGTAGAACACTTTGAAGCTGCACTGAAGCTGCAATTTGGACCTTCCACCCAGTGAACCCCACTGAAGTCCACTATATAGAGAAAAACCCTGGAATGTTTTCCTCAAAAACCTTAATTTCTTTTTGACTGAAGAAAGACAGACATGAACATCTTGGATGACATAAGGATGAGAAAATTATGAAGAAATTTTCATTCAGAAGTGAACTAATCCTTTAAGCGGCCACAAGACAGCAGTACCAAATCAGAGTTGACCTGCTAAAGTAGAAGATTGCCTTATTACTAATGGTGTGTGCTTTACTCACTGACACAGGCGGTTGAGAGAAGCCGGGTGGCGATGAATGGGGGCAGACAGTTAGGGAAGGCAGGCTGCAGCACATAGTTGGAGAAGGTGAGCGCAATCACAGCCAGAGTCGTTGGGTACATAATCAACACAGCACTCCACAGCAACAAGAACCTGTGAAAACACAAACAAATGGCCATCTTTATCATCACCAATACAAAACAAACACAGAATTCTGAGTAGTGTTAGTGTTGCATCTGAGCGAGCAAGTAAACACACGTGAATCTCCCTGAGAAGTGCCCTTGTGTGCTTCACACACAAACTGAGACAACCACATTGACATTTAGGCATTTGGCAAACACTTTCATCCAAAACAATTCATACTGCATCTGTTCATGCATTTCCTGGGAATCGCTCCAATGACCTTGGCAATGTTAGTGCCATGCTCTGCTGTTTAAGCTAAATGAACACTGAGTTTACCACTCTGGAGGGTAACAATAGACCTACCCCACCAGTCCCCCGAAGATCTCAGTTACGTATGAGTAGTCTCCACCTGATTTGGGGATGGTGACGCCCAACTCGGCATAGCAAAGAGATCCCAAGGCACAGATCCCTCCTCCTAGAACCCACACGATGAGTGAGAACCCCACACTGCCTGCATGATCTAGAACCCCCTTTGGAGAAATGAAGATCCCTGAGCCAATGATGTTGCCTGAGAAAACAAGAGAAACAGCAATGGGTTGTTTAGTATATATTGTTCATATAATCTAAAATAAATTACATTACTGGACTGAATTATAAGGCATTCACCTCAGGACAGATTGGTTTTCTGTATCAGAAATTAATAGGCATAAATCTTATTGCCAATTGTACTAAGTGCATGGGAATATTTAAGTGAGATTTTGATTATGCTGTCTGTCTCATGCTTTTATATCAGTTTCTTACTTGAAATGTCTTTTTAAAAAATATTTGTAAAAATCTGCAATCTTGTGGGTTTTTTTCAGTGCAAGACAGCGTGTCCTAAAAGAACTGTCCTTGCAGCTGTCAAAACGCGGCTGCACATTCCAGGCAAACGGACACGATAAATAAGATCAGCAATGTTAGAGTCAACATCAGTTGCGAAATCGAGATGAGAGTTCAGTATCCAGTAAAAGGTAAATGTTCTGCTTCATGGCATATACATCTTAGGCAAACCCCGCTGAGCATGTATAGTGAATTTTCATTCAGAAGTGAACTAATCCTTTAAGCGGCCACAAGACAGCAGTACCAAATCAGAGTTGACCTGCTAAAGTAGAAGATTGCCTTATTACTAATGGTGTGTGCTTTACTCACTGACACAGGCGGTTGAGAGAAGCCGGGTGGCGATGAATGGGGGCAGACAGTTAGGGAAGGCAGGCTGCAGCACATAGTTGGAGAAGGTGAGCGCAATCACAGCCAGAGTCGTTGGGTACATAATCAACACAGCACTCCACAGCAACAAGAACCTGTGAAAACACAAACAAATGGCCATCTTTATCATCACCAATACAAAACAAACACAGAATTCTGAGTAGTGTTAGTGTTGCATCTGAGCGAGCAAGTAAACACACGTGAATCTCCCTGAGAAGTGCCCTTGTGTGCTTCACACACAAACTGAGACAACCACATTGACATTTAGGCATTTGGCAAACACTTTCATCCAAAACAATTCATACTGCATCTGTTCATGCATTTCCTGGGAATCGCTCCAATGACCTTGGCAATGTTAGTGCCATGCTCTGCTGTTTAAGCTAAATGAACACTGAGTTTACCACTCTGGAGGGTAACAATAGACCTACCCCACCAGTCCCCCGAAGATCTCAGTTACGTATGAGTAGTCTCCACCTGATTTGGGGATGGTGACGCCCAACTCGGCATAGCAAAGAGATCCCAAGGCACAGATCCCTCCTCCTAGAACCCACACGATGAGTGAGAACCCCACACTGCCTGCATGATCTAGAACCCCCTTTGGAGAAATGAAGATCCCTGAGCCAATGATGTTGCCTGAGAAAACAAGAGAAACAGCAATGGGTTGTTTAGTATATATTGTTCATATAATCTAAAATAAATTACATTACTGGACTGAATTATAAGGCATTCACCTCAGGACAGATTGGTTTTCTGTATCAGAAATTAATAGGCATAAATCTTATTGCCAATTGTACTAAGTGCATGGGAATATTTAAGTGAGATTTTGATTATGCTGTCTGTCTCATGCTTTTATATCAGTTTCTTACTTGAAATGTCTTTTTAAAAAATATTTGTAAAAATCTGCAATCTTGTGGGTTTTTTTCAGTGCAAGACAGCGTGTCCTAAAAGAACTGTCCTTGCAGCTGTCAAAACGCGGCTGCACATTCCAGGCAAACGGACACGATAAATAAGATCAGCAATGTTAGAGTCAACATCAGTTGCGAAATCGAGATGAGAGTTCAGTATCCAGTAAAAGGTAAATGTTCTGCTTCATGGCATATACATCTTAGGCAAACCCCGCTGAGCATGTATAGTGCCTGAATGATTATGCCTCAGCAAACTTAAACAAAAGAGTTTCAATTATATGAGGCTCAGCCACAGTTATGGGCCGAAGCATTATGTAATCCTTTTGAGTTCTCTCTTTGTCTGCGGGTGTTCGCATGAATTTGGTAGTATTGTGAGTGGATGTGAATGTTTGCTCCCAGCATCTCAGAACTGCATAAAGGATAAGGCAATGAAGCTGACGAGACAGAACCCAGCGCATCTCAAAAAAATCAGTCAAATGAGGCTCAAAGTTCCTGAATGAAGTTCATGGGGTCACACTACACCACACTTGACTCTGACTGGTCGTACAACTCACAACATAACAAAACAATGTCCACTTGGCTGATTAACAAAAGTATTAACTCCCCTTTGTGCCAGTTCCAAAATTTACAAACAGTGTTGTCACTGGTATTTCAAAACCTTGTCAACTTTAAGTACACGCTGTCTAAATAAAAAGTGTTCCTTTCATGTAATTTGCTGTCATTAAATTGCAGTGTATATCATCATGATTTCGGGCCATTGGTTACCCTGCTCTCTAGATATGGGTATTGGCATCGGCTATTGACAAACTAATTTCAGTCAACCACTAGTCCACTAGTTTAATTAATTAAAGATGTGACGGGGTAAATGAGGTTTCATTGTGTCCACATTACTTAAAGAAGCATTAAAAAGAAGAAAAGAAACTCCATTGGCGAAGAACTGTGTAAAGTAACTGATAAAATTTGTCATTGACCTCGAGTAATATCAGGAGGACTTTCTAGAACAGAGAAACTTTCCCATGGTCAGAAGGTAAACAAGTCACCAGTTAAATTTCAGCAGTTATTTTGCCTCTAGGAAATCCTTCACAAGGATGAATCTGCAATTCTATACTCTATATTTAAAGGTTCTTGTCAGATTCATGTCAAACATTTAAAGTGGTGAAGGGCTGTGAACAAAATTGTGTCAGCCTTACTACCCATAAAGCCACAAAACCATAAACATAACTGAAATCTACAGATGCACCTGTATGTTAATGTTCCACAGGAAAATCAAGCTCAAAACAATGAACCACTTCCACCTGATGGTACTACAATCAGGTCAAGGCCATATCTAACAGTTAACATTAGTTATATATCAATAAACCCCCTTAAATCTTGTTTATACAAAACCTCAAAAAGAAAGACTAGTTATACTTCACATAAAAATAAAGACATATATCATCATCCATACAGTGACTATACATACACACAGAGGATTATTCATTGGATGGACGTGCCCAGCACACTAATAATAAAAAGGTGGTTTTACTTATGTTTAATTTGGAAGATGCTGTACAGTACATAAGAAAATATGCATTTGAATTGTGATGTATCTTCCTGTCCAAAGCTCATTTAATCTTACACCATGATTTACTGACTACAATGAACACTTTCATCTTGCAGTGCTGATAATCCTACAGATACATGACATAGACTACACGAGACATATGCGTTTGCATCCAAGGCAGCAATACGATCTTAAATACTTAAAAGGAAGTCTACACTTCCGCCTACTTTAATTCTATATTTCCACTGCAGTGTTTAGCAATGGAGTCTTGTATGGTGGGTTTGTTCGGGGCACGTGAAGGACACCGTGTAGTGGGTTGCAGCCACGTAAGCGCGGAGTTGAGTTTCAGCCTGATTCTCTTCCTCAATGATGCAATCCGCGCTCTGATGAACAGAGTCTGATGGAGAACTGTAGCGGCATGGCACGAGACGCTCTTCTCGACGGAAACCGAGCAATGCTGTGTGTCTTCACTTGGAAAGTTGGACTGTTGTCCTAACAAAGTAAGACAGCCGTACAGCGTGACGATATAAGTTTGGAAATGAGTTTTGAGACCTAGCTTTTTAATACTTTATTTGTCACCACAAACACTCGACATTTAGAGCGAGCGCATTTCAGAGAGCAGATGTGGACAGATATCGTTAAAGAGAAGGAATATGAAAGAGTGAGGACAGAATATTGAGATAAATAGCAGAAAGAGAAGCAAACCGAGAGAAAATGATAGACAGAAAGAGAGAGAAAGTTGAAGCTGGTTAGAGCGCACGCGTTATACTGAATACAAGGAAACATCTCACCTATAATTATGGCGCACGCGCTCAGGAGACCAATTTCTTTTTTAAGAGTCACTCTGTCCTTAGATCCACTTTGGTTTCCTCCGGAATCTAACATCTTCTGTTGCTCCATTTTCGCGCGGTTTCTCTGGTTCGTTTCGGTTCCATCCATTCGTGCGGCTGTTCAAGAAATCTGCATCTGTATCCGCTCCCGGTCTCATATAGCGAGTTGATGCAGGGCTCCAGGCGCTCACGCATGCGCAGAACTCCTGCTGTCTGCCTCCACAAAGATCAACAGGTTGTGCTGTTACCTGCTCCAGGCGCGAGCAAAGAGGGACGCCTGTGGCATTGCAGCACCTCAAAGTCACAGCGTTTATGAATGCTGGCATTGACAGTCAAGATGTGTTGGAGTTGAGTGTGGGTTATCAGGAACGGTTGGAAAAAGAGTGGCATTGTAGGTTTAGAAGAAGTTCTTAGAGCTTAATTGTATCAATACTTTTGTGTTGACTGCCTGTATGTGGGTCTGAGTGTAAAAGGTTAGTTCACATATAACATTTTTATTTTCTTGTTTAATTCAGCTAAAAAAAATTCCACCATTTTAATTAATACCATTTTGATATCACTAATTCAAAATTATCATGCGATGTAACAAATACAATTTTATATTCCATTTATTCTCAGTATTAACAATTAGCTACTACATCTACAATAGTTATAGAAATAGTATAAAACCAAAAATTATATTTTACATTACAGTTTTTTACAATCATTTTTGCACTAATAACACTTTTCAAAACTCTAGACACATAATTCACAACCGGTGATTAAAATGCACATTTTTCAAAACGCTTAACACTTTTTCCCAATTGCTTGGAAACAATACACATGAACCAAAGATCTTTTGTTCATTGAACTAAAATCACTGTTCAAAATGACACAACTTAACATCAAAGTTTTACTATTTCAAAAAGCAACTCACACATTACATCTGAATTGAGTGTCTATTCATTTCATTACAATGATCTAACTATCAGTTATCACAACTGCTCAAAATGCTACTGGTTTGGATTACGACAAGACTTGAAAATGGTGCAGGGAAAAAAACGCATTCTAGTTAAATTGGGTTGACATATGAGCAAAGCCTGGTTACCTTTAATTACAATTAGAGATGTGGACACACTAACCTGAATGTATGTTTTTTTATGATCTTAAAAACCTGTTGATGAAGGTTTAAATGTTTAAAATGTTTTTGTATTGATTGTATTTAAATGGGTACTTTTAAGAGACCAAAATATAAGATACTACATCACTACATACACAACATATTTTTTCTAAAATAATAATAATAATAAAAAACATTGGTAGTGTATATTCATCATATTTTTGCTCAGGGAACTATATATATATTTTCTGTTTGTGCAGAAAATTTGTGCAACATATTTCAGTATGAAGAAATGATTAAAGATGAAAAATTTTAAAATGAGCCAAACATTTATTATGTGAAAACACAATGTGTAGGGTTTGTAGAACAGTGCATGTAAATTGTCTATGTGAAATTCTGTGAAAATTCTGTGAAGAAGAAGAAATATTCATCATCTTCACTTCTCTAGACCTGATTTGATACAATCATGCCTTTTCTTTGTGAATGCGTGGAACACAAAAGAAATCCCAAAAGATCCTGTTTTTTTGGATGTGGCCCTCTGGTGACTGAGTGTGTAAAGTGATACTGACTGTTATGGGGTACAATGACACCTGAACAACCAATTATTCTCTTTAGATGGCGCTTGTAACTGATCTGCTTGTACATGTTGAGATCTTTTGTAAAATGAATGTCCTGATGATATCTTATTATTAATTACTCTTTTGGTAAACAAATAGTGTCAAAATTAAATTATTTCATCCCTCTAATTAAATAAATTAGAGAGATAAATCTGAGATGAAAGATGAAATAAAGATGAAAATAAGTGTCAAATATAAAGAGTAAAATCAATAATTATTTTTATAATATATTGATAATGTAATGACAGAAACAAGAAAACAATGCTGAGAACTATTATGTGAACTGTAAACTTTGGATATTTCAGAAAATGAGTGAAGACTAAGAGTAGTTAAAAAAAAAAAAAGGGGAAATTAAGAGGGTTTTATAGGCCTGAAATGCAAACCAGTGTAAGGTGAACATGAGGAGAAAGAAAACACAGGACACTGTGTGTGTGTGATGGAGAGGACATATCACAGCATTTGAAGACACTCTCATTCTGAATGACTATCTCTTGGGAGCTGTGAGGACGGAAGCTCTGACCCAATCTGATATACAGTGGGTACGGAAAGTATTCAGACCCCCTTAAATCTTTGCTCTCTCCTTCAGGTTTAATTAAACCTATAGAGCTTATAGTAATTTCAATATTTGGAAAAAATTAAATATAATAATAAACATTTTACATCATATAAGACTCTAGAGACTGTAAAAAACTCATAGTATCACCAGAAGAGCAACCATTTGGACATACAGAGTGGAAACCTTTATTCTACCGTCATGGAAAATTTTATCAGGCATCTAAACCGAATAGCTGTATCTCCAGATATGGTTCACTATGTGAGTCCATGGATGGAGAGAGAAAAAAACTGAATGCATTTTTCCCTCTTGACATTTCCATCCTCTTAGCAGTTTTAAGTGAATATACAGGGGCTGTTTAATGGTAGAGACACTTCCTGAACTCTAATATTCTAGATTGCCAGTACAGAATGTATCTGTGTTTGGGAGACTGGTGGACCCAACAATTCTGTCATCAATCACTTTGTCTAATGTTCAGTGTAGCTGGTGTGACACACAAACACTCTCTCCCATACATGCTCACTTCCATACACATGGACACACATGCGCGCGCGCACACACACACACACACACACACACATCTACTGTATATAAGGGATCTTATCTATCACTTATCTTGTATCTACACTTTGACATGTAATCTGCTCAAATACATTGGAATTCAATCTTCAATGTAATGCTGTGCACTGTCAACTTTAAGTATGAGAACATTAACAAAGCCCAATAACTTTTAGTGCATAGAAATGCACATACAAAGAGGTCATATTTTTCTTGTACTATCTTATTCAAAGATGCTATGACAGAAGAAGGAAACAACACTTTTCTCTCAATCGAACAGTAATACTTTTGCAAGCATTCAGCAGGAACTGTTTAAATTATTTTATTTAGTAACATTTTTGTACTAGTAACTTTCATTCTTTTGTAGAAGCCCTGTCTAAATCATTTAATTTTGTTTGTACAAAACAAAATTTTATGTAGAAACCCTGTGACTTTCTAAAACTGCTAAATCCAATCACGCATTCTCCTGGATTGGAGGAGGTCTTCAAAAAAATATAGAAAACATTTTGACACGTTAAATTAGTTTGTAATTCATATACAGTTAAGATTTATTTAATTATTACGGAATTATTGAAAAATATGAACAAAGAAGATTGTGAAATAAATCAGATTTTTTATTCAAAAAAGACGACAGTTTGAAGGCAAAAAAATTGTCAAATATGCAAATTAAACTGATGTCAAAAACTTGACGTGACATTTATTTGATGTAAATTGATCAAACATATTGGCCTACATATACTGTACATTAAACCAATTTCAGTGTGGGATTAACTTCCTTCTTTTGCTCAATTACCACTGGAAGAAATTGTGCCTCTCCTCTTCAGTTCACACCTGGGATGGCCATGGCAGGACCTTGATTTTGTGCTCAGTGACTCATTTTTGTGTTGATTTTGTGTTTGTTTTGGATCATTGTCCTGATGAAAGATCCAACCACAGCCCCAATATAAGATTTCTAACAGAGGCAGTCAGGTTTTGATTTTTTATCTCTTGGTATCTGATAGAACAACAAGATGTCCAGGACCTCCGGCAAAAAAAATAGACCCATAACATTAAAAATCAAGCAGTAAATTTAACCACAGACATATCCCTGTGCAGGGGCGGACTGGGACAAAAATTCAGCCTTGGCACTGTAGCCACACCGGCCCACATTACCACACGGACACGGACACACGCATTCACTACTTACATTTGTGTACAGATGATGAAATAATATAAGCAGTACCATATATGTAACAGATATTTAAACATTTAATGTATGTGTCTGGCAAACAGTGCTTTCTACTTTTTAAAGAGCACACGTTTATAACAAATTTACACACACAGTTAAAACAAAAGAAAAAGAATCTGAGGATGTTTTAGAGTCTGTGTGCTGTCTGTTTATGCCATTTGTCTGCTGTTACTGTCATTCTCTACAGTATGTTGTTCTTCGTTGTCACTGTCTGTCTGTTGGGTTTTTCCTACCTCTACCATACTCCTCCCTGTCTCTGCTAGGCCTACCGTAGCATCCTTCCTCACAGCACTGGTGTTGGAAAACCAGGGGTCTCTGGCTGTACTGATTCCAGCAACATCCTAGTTAATGAACACAGTATAGGACTTAAACATTACAGCAAAATATTTTCTCACTGACTGCTCTCAACATTGGAATACACATGAATACAAACAAGTAATAATAGCAAAAAAGGGAATATAATATATAGCAAAAACTATAAATAGTTGCAGCAGTAAATCCTTTTTGATATACAATTATTTGTGAATTAAAGTATGCTGAAGTGTTGCTAGTATGTGCTGTGAGTGTGATCTCTCTCTCTCTCTCTCTCTCTCTGTGTGTGTGTGACACAGGCACAGGTTCCTCCTATCCTAATAGTTAATTAGAGCCACATTATTAATAAACTGGCAGCATCTGTATCAGGGTGTGTGTCTGTCATTGTGTCTTCCTACCGCCATGACACTTGACTCTGCAGTCCACCCTACCTAAGGATTAATTGCATACTGTAAACTTATGTACTGTATGCATGCTCAATGTTTTATTTTAATATATGACTATCTACATAGTCAAAGTAAAGTTCACTACAAATGTCTATAGTACTATGGCTATTGCTATAGGTTTTTGATGTCTTAGACTATATTGCAAGTAGCCTGCATCAGTTTTTACCCTAAATCCCACTTTATGTGCTGATATTTCAGTCATGCAATTCAGTAGCTAACAGGCTCGTTAACACTTAAGTTAACCAATTATCATGAAGCAATGACATTTTAAAATATACTGGGGTTCTTCTATGCTAAGCTTACAACTGTTTAATATAATGTAGGCTACTGTCAAACCCCCCCCATAAAAACTATTTTATTTATATATATTTAGAAAAAATCTGACCGGCCCACATTAAACAAAATGGTCCGGCTCCTCTGGCATTTGCCAGAATTGCCAGATGGCCAATCCGCCCCTGTCCCTGTGTATCCCTTTAAACCCATGCTGTGTGTGCCATAAAGCTCTCTTTTAGTTTCATCTAGCAGGACCCCATCCCAGTAGTGTCTGGCAACTGAATATGTTGGAATCTAGCATAGTGTTAGTTCTGGCAGGTCACGTTAGTCAAGCTCTCATCAGCTGACTCTCAGCTGATCCCCATCAACCTATGGGAATACGACACCTATCTAAGCATTCATATATAAGGTCCCTCAGTATTATCAGCAGTTTTTGCATTGCTCAATAGCTAATTACCCTCCTCCATCCCCAACTCCTCCTCTGTCAGTCAGGATTCAGCCTTATGATTCTCCTTTGAATCAGACTAATTCTAAAATGTGTACATAACATTATTACTTTAGAACTTTAACGATATCTGCAATACATTTATGTTGGTTCTGTTCCGTTTACCCTGGGGGGGGTTATTGCTGCTCTCCCTGCTCTCATCCATGCTAGGCTGCATGGATGCGCAGGGAGTTCTTGCCCAGAACAGAACCATACCGCCAATCCAAACTGTATGCTAATTGTCAATCATCTTTGACGATAGTGGTCCTGACAGAAGTTTGCTTTTTCTTGAAACTGGAGAATTTTTCTTGAAACCCTCTGAAAACAACTTGTGGTGATGACACCAAGACTCAACTAATTTCTGTAATTTTCCAGCTGTGATTCTTGGAGAGTAAAAATATCCTCATTACCTTGCATTAGGACGATGTCCCCTTCCAGGCAGATTCATAACTTCTCCAGTTGATTGGAAAATCGTAATTATTGCCCTGAAGATTGGAAATTGGAATTTTCAATGCTTTAGCTATTTTGTATAGCCACTTTCTATTTTGTGAAGCTCAACAATCTTTTGCTGCACATCAGAACTATATTCTTTGGTTTTACTCATTGTGATGAATGATTAAGGGAATGTGGCCTTTACTCCTGAAACAGGAAGTCATGGTTGGACAATTTCATGTCTGTAGTCACCCTGGTGTACTAATATATGTCCATATGAATGGGAATATACTTCTTAGATATTTTATTCATAAGAGTTTCTAGGGGTGCTAATAATTGTGGCTAACGTATTGGAGAAAAACAATTACTTCATAATGTGATTTCATACCCACTTTTAATTGTTATACTGTAATGAAAGGCTATAATTTTTTCTAGTGAAAGATTAAAAGGATAAACAATTTGCAAAAAGTTAAATTCAAGAACTTTAGGCACGTTGAGCACCTTTTAATAATCCTGAATATTGATCATGTAGGATATTCAATGAAGTGCTTAACTTGCAAGGTGTAGAGCGTCAACGTGTAGAATGCAATGTATTTGAGCTGATTTCATTTTGCCATGAATTACACAAATAATTTCTAAAAGCAAATAAAATAAAGAATTATATACTCCTATATTTTTTGGAAGCGATATTCAAAATGCATTTCACTCAAATATCTGAAAGAGTGCCCCCATGGTTTGAATGGGCATGGCGCCTCTGGAAAGGGTTTTGGAACTTTTGGGGACAACAGTTCTAGAAGAAACAAAAACAGCCTTCAGTATGAGATAACCTGTCTGTCAGGGCTCAGTAAATATGAGTAAATAAGATTCATATGTGGGCTACAGTGTTGTGTGAGACCAGTTACAGCAGCTTTTGACCTTGAATCACTGGCCCCAGTGTTAATACGCTGTCTGACAGCATTGATCCATTTGGCAAGGAGGGCAACATGGCTAACATGAACTCTGAGTGTTTGCTTGTGTGTCAGCATGTTATGAGAAATTGTGCTTATTCTCTAGGCTGAAAGGGCAAGAACAAAAATAAACCCCCAGACATTATTAGTGGCTGTGGGATCAGAGAGAAAATCACACACGGATTTGTAACAGCTGAGCACAGCCCAGAAAAAGTAATAATCCCAGGCTGAAGAAAAACAAAATCACCTCAGACCTTATTTCCTCAAAGCTCTAAAGTATGTACAATTACGTCCCCAAAACATAAGACTGTGTTTGTTTGTGTTAGAGAGTGTCTAGCACACTGAGACTATTCCATAAACCTGCTTCCAGTAGCAGGTATGATTTAGGCCAAACGTGGCCAACACGTTTCAGTGAATTCAACATCTACAATCTAAACATTAGAGGGCGCTTTTACTTTACATTATTGTCACTTGCTGCGTTGCCTAAATACAGAATCAGAATCAAATATAAACACAAGACACAGATTAAAATAAATAAATGAAATGTAATAAATTAGGTATTATAATTTTGTGTGCGTGTGTAATACAACTATACAAATAACGTATATTCACAAGAGACAAAATATGTATAAAAAAAATCTATATACAGATACATAGATTCAATGTATTTACGTAATGTCTCCTTGCAGAAGCAAAGTGCTAATTTATTCTTTCCAAGTCAACTTTTTTTATTTTGCTACAGGCATATTTGTGACAAATCAGAAATTAGAGTTTTTTCAAGAAGGCACGTGTGGGTCTGTAATTTGAAAACTATCCGTCTACTTAAAAAGTCACCAATGTCTGAGCTAAAAATAACGTTGAAGTTGAGCCTTTATAAGCCAGTCGAATAGGGGGCGTGGCCATTGCGCAGGTAAGAGCAATCAGACTCCGCCCACTGGGGGCAGCTCCGCCGTCGTGACGCATCCGGAGGGGGGCGGACGGGGAAGTGCAGCGCAAATAGCGAATGCTGAAAGTGATTAGGAGAGTTTGCACAAGATTGAACCAACAACAGACATCTGAGACTTGAGTGCCTTAGAGACGCACACCTGTTGACTTCTGCTTTCTGAATTTAATCGAGGCAATCGGTTGAGATTCAGAAATGACGGACACTCTTATTCCCAATGATTGCAAGAGCAACGGACCGGTGGAGAGTGGCTACTTTAAAAAGGTAAGAGTTACTCGGGATTTCATTTCTGTTTCTGTCGATGGTTTGGGAGTTGACGATAAATTCATCGGGACTTTTTATTAGTCACTGACTGTCTAGATGGTTTAGCTAGTAGGCTACTGTTTTGAAAAGATACGTGATTTATTTGTAATGTTCTTTCACGAGCTGTAAGATGTGAAGTGTTGACAAGTGAAGGACTCTGCTCTGATGCCCCCAAACAATGCCAAGCGAAAAAGCACATTTTCTTTTATACCTTCTCATCTGAAGTTTCCTGCTGCTTTGTGTATTTATGCATTTATTTATTTATTCACCCTATTAAGCCATCTTCGTTTGGCTTCTTGGTGTTTACTTAATATTTTTTATATCAATGTCCCTTACAAAAATATCATGGTTGGTTGGTAACCCTAGTTTCCGACAAAAATGACTCCAGATATTGTTAATACAAGCACAACTTTAATAGCTTGTGATTAAAAGTAAAGGTCCAACTAACTATAATTTTAATAACGGATTAATCTCTCGATCATTTCTTTGATTGATTGGACGAGGAATCGAACAGTTATTAATGATTTAAAAAATAATAATTAAAAATTAAAATATAAATAATTGTAAACAATTATTTACAGATTTGTTATTCTACACCCTGCCCAGTCAGTGTTGTCCTCGAAATAACGCAGTGCAATTTGAAGGCAATGTAAATAAAGGTAGCGAATGTATCTAGGCTACTGTATGTAGACTGTGTGCTATTAAACATTATGTGCAAAAAGGGGTTAAACTTCAAAACCAATTGTTTACCGTTTGAAAGTAGTTATAACAAAAAAACATTAAAATCACTAAAATAAAAATAATAAACTAAAGCACAGACTAAATGTTAAATGGTACGGAGTAGGAGGAACACATATTACACATTAGAAAAATTGATATGTTTGCTAGAATTATTGCATTGCTATCTTTTGCTGAGCAATCATTGTGTTTTGGTGAAAACTGTGGTTACTATGGTGAATTGTTTGAAAGGAATAGTGTACCTTACTCAAAAAGTTGTTTCTGGTATTTGCTTATCTTTTATTTTGATTGATTTCAGCTGTATTTTGATTGATTTCTTTATATTCAGATTCTGCAGCGGTCATGGTGAAAATGGCTCAGTGTGTTTGTAAATGAATGTTTTTTTTGGTTTTGTTTTTCTCTTCTCAGTACAGTCCACCCTGAAGTGTGTGTGCATGTGTATGGGTATACTTTGGAAGAGTAACTTGTGACAGGTTTCTGGCGTTTATCCTGGATCTTTTATCCTCTGGATTTTTTTTTGTTAGTGTGAATGAAGGCTCAAGAGGCCCATTGTCTTTGTTGAGCTCACTTCTCGTTGTGTCAAGAGTATCTGTTGGGCTTGGTTGTTTAGCGCTTCTTATTCTTATGTTTGATATCGAACTGGACCAGCACAGTGATCAGTTCCTACAGTTTCTTTTGAAACGTTTTTCTGAAGGCACCTTGTATGCAAAACATAGAGTGAAACAGAAAAATGAACCACAGACTGGGTTTTCTGAGTTAATGTGGGCAAGCATGGATGGTCGGATTTTAGAGGAAAGGCATTTTGTTTAGTCTGCTGCTGGAAGTGGTCGTGTTTGTTTCGTATATTTCCGGTGTCTCCGTTTCATTTGTTACATGAATTCTTTGAAAATGAGTGTGGTCGCCGTTTGCAGCGAGAAGGGTTCAGGCCCGTTACCAGGTGGGGGCTGGTTCAGAGTGGTGATGTGGTTTTGGTCCAGTTCCGCCTGAGCTGATCCTGCTTGGGCTACGGGGCTTGGAGAAACTGAATCGCCGATTCAGCATGTTTTTCCAGTTTTCTTCCTATTAACGTTGCATCTGCCCAGTGAAAGTGCTTGGCAAACCACAAACATTAATGAAACACAGATGCTCCAATTTCTTGTCCCAGCACAGGCAGGAGAAGCTGTTCCGAGCTTTACGATTAGTATAACATGGCTTCTGAACATCTCACAGCATTACGCAGATTGAGTAAAGTGATCAAATAGCAACCAACAACCTCGAAGAACCAAGAAACGGTGTGTCTTAACAAAAATGAATCATTCATCAGAATGAAATACGCTTTCTGTTGCATAACTCTTTAATGGGTGTTTACTGAAGCCCAACTTCATTACCCCAATGCAGAGACAGAGCAGTTAGTCACGTTTAGAGGCACATTTAGATGTCCTATGGCTGAAAATAGAAATAAACATTTGTTACTGTGGTCTCATATTTGTGCATTTATAACAGTTGCATAATGTTGGAACACTTATACATCTTAGTTGATGCCCTGTTTTCTGTCTCATCTGTGCCCTGGTTTGATTAGGACCTTGTTTCTGCTCTGACTGCATTGTTAGTCAGGGGTAATTGTATGATTGTGACTGTGGAATGCAGTTGTGCTGGAAGCTCTTTGGTTCTGCTCGGCTAAACATCGGCCTGGTCAGTGTTCTAGAATGTGCAGAGGTCATGTTGGGTCCTTTTGATAACCACTATTGCATGTATTGAAACAGCCCATGTTTACCCCTCAGCAGGCTATGGTTTTAATCTAGTTTCAGATTACTACTCGCACTCAGTCCAGTTGTTAACAAAAGTGACTACCAAATTATATCATTTAGGTGACGTGCTTACATTTTTCTAGGCATTTTCAGTTCAAGCTGTATTGTGTGAGCAAAACCGCACTGGGCAGCTTGTTGTCTGTCATCATGTTATTCAATACATGAGGAACTCTGCACTGCACATGTTCGTGTCTCAAGTGTGGGTATTTTTTTTCGTGAGGGGTTCTGGTAACTCATAGAGATGGAGATATGAGCTGTGTGTCATCTGAAACTTTTAGATATAGTTGCTGCCTGTCTTCTACCAGAGATGTTCTCACTTGCACCTACAAATTAAGTATTTCAACGCCACAGTCCAGTAATTAGGATTTGATAGATAAACCTTGATTGTAGTTGTTATTAAATAATGTTTAGTCAAATAAGACTCATTTACTTCAGTCATTGTCACTGGACTTCTAGATGTTATTAACAGCTGTCTCACAAATACAAAATGGGATTGACTTTGGTTATGTGTGCATACAGAGTGTATTCGAACTGCAACTGTAAGCTGCTGCATGAACATCACACAAATTTGGGCTAATGTTCATTATCAGAAAAGGTCCATTGTCCATTCTTAATAGGATAGCAATGCATGAAGCACCATTTACCCAGAGGTCAATTCAAACCAAGCTCCTTTTGCTGACCAACATGGGAAATTTGTGGGAGCAACTTGAACCCGATGCAGAATTTTTCAATTTCTCTTGAAATTCCTGATCGCACAGATTCCTATTGAAATTACTGGATTTTAAACTTGCAATTTGTGAAAAATGTCACCACACATTTAGTACACTTGTCAATCCTAAACATTAACTGTGTGAATGAAGTCAGTAGCTACACATTAAAGGGGCCATATGATGCTGCTAAAAAGAACATTATTTTGTGTATTTGGTGTAATGAAATGTGTTTATAAGGATTAAGGTTCAAAAAACACATTATTTTCCACATACTGTACATTATTGTTTCTCCTCTATGCCCCGCCTTTCTGAAACGTGTCGATTTTTACAAAGCTCATCGGTCTGAAAAGCGAGGTGTGCTCTGATTGGCCAGCTATCCAGTGCGTTGTGATTGGCCGAATACCTCAAGTGTGTGACGGAAATGATATGCCGTGTCCTGGCCGGAGCGACGAGACAAAAACATTTAAAACCCATTATAAATGAGGCATTTGTTGCATCCAGTGGGGACATAATTACAGATTATAATGACTTACACTGTCTTTTTACGCGTTGCGTTGCATTGCGCCATGTAAACATAAAACCATGTCTGCATTTGTAATCGGAGAAACGACAAACAACAAGCGCTACTCTACACTGCTCAAAACTCGCGTTTGAATCATCAGTGGCAAATCCTTTAAATATGAAAACTTACTTACAGTCTGTGAGTCAGAACAGCCGGCATTGTAGTCTACTCTACCAGGATCAGGAAACAGTCCTCCATAAAATGCGCTGGACATCTGAATATTTGGGTTAAACTGTTCTGGAACAGTGTTGTAAATACAACTTAACCACTGATTTCTAGTCGTGTCCTCTTTTGGAAGACCAAACAAAGTAGTTTCACTTTCACAACGAAACACAGCATCGCACACGGCGGGTTTGAGTGAGGAACGGCCGGCGGATTTGACAAAGGAGCGAATCGGGCTTGCAGCAACCACATGTGACGACCCCGGGCTGGACTCCGCTTCATCCACGGTGAAAGCCGATCCGGCGATCCACAGCGCGAAGTTGTTGTATTTCCTCAGCGACCAACACGGATCAGCTCCAGGCATGACGAAGCGGATATCGTTCTCTATTTTGGAAGGCCAAACAAAGTAGTTTCGCTTTCACAACGAAACACACAGCGCCTTCACGACATGGCGGTTGCGGCAACAACAATACTACATCGAGAATAAAAGTTACGCCGCCTTTCTTTGCGTGAACATTTGGGCGGCGTTATGCAAATCTTCCCACATCCTGACGTAGATATGTGGGGACGTGTTAGAACAAGCCATTTTAGGTAGGTGTGGCTGACGCTTAACTTTTATAAAGAATATCTCTTTGGATTTGAGACTTTAGTCTTTGCAACTTTACAGATCTCAGTCAGTTGTGCCTTCAGCATTTTTACCTTTAGATTTGGAGTTGATGATAGACACAGTAACATTGTGACTTTGTTAATGCTGATTACTAAAGAGACTGGGAATTGCTATATATGAGATTTTCATTTTTCAGACCTTATACCTGTGAAGCCCATAGAGTCCTTGCTAGGACATTGAAACCTGAAACCATAATATCTTAAACTCAAATATAAACTTTCTTTGCTTAGAAACATTTAACACGCAAGTCATTTTCAAACATTTTAGCAGCCAGCTGTCAACTGTGAAATGCTGGCACTGATTTGAATGGTAACCACCGGTCAGTCATGCATGCTACTATAGCTGATCCAGATGAGAGAGGAAAACTGTGTCTGACTAAAAAACATGCAAAGTATAATGCAAATATTTTTTAGTGTCACCTTTCTGATGTCCTGTAGCACGTCAAGGTGAAGAAGGTTTTCGTACAAATTAGACATCAAAAATGATAAATTATATTCACAGAATGTTAAATGCCTTTCTTCTAAAATTAATCATTTCGAATTTGAAATCTGAATCATTGTTAATAATGATATATCGGTCTATAAACAGGCTGCATGTTTTCTGTTGTATCAGTTTGTAACTAGCAATGTGTTTTGAGTAGTGATTCAAATTCTTGGCCAAAACTCAAAACCAAAACTAAAAATGGTGATTTTAATATAGCCTTTTTTTTTATGAATAATACAATACATATATTTCTAAGTGAGTACACTCACTTCCTTCAATTGGCATTCAATTGACTTAATGATAAAATAGACAAATTATACCCCAACAGTATAATTATGCATGTGTCAGTGTTGATCAGTGTAATTTTTTTGCGCACACTATAATGTACAGTAAACAGAATGCCATTACCGCAAAATAACTCTCACATTGTTTATTTAGATTAACATACACTACCATCTTTAATAATTTAGTAAAGTCTCTTATGCTCACTAAGACTGCATTTATTTGATCAAAAATGTAATAAAACCTTTAATATTTTGAAATGCTGTTACAATTTAAAATAAGTGTTTTCTATTTTGATGTAATTTACTTCTGTGATGGCAAAGCTGAATTTTCAGCAGCCATTACTCCAGTTTTCAGTGTCACATTATTGTTTAGAAATCATTCTAATATGCTGATTTGATGTTCAAGAAACATGTATTATTATCAATGTTGAAAACAGTTGGGCGCTTATGGAACAGCGGCGATACAGCGTTTCCTTGGTTACCGCTGTAAACGGCAGCGTTGCACTTATAAATGCATATGGAGGCAAGATGAAAAGAAAATACCATCTAACTTTTCTGAAGATAGTCGGTTCCCCTCAGAGACCGAGATACATTCATATAAACCCCCACTCTCAATTGTATTGTGATTCATTTAAAGTAGTTCACTTTAAGTCATCATTTACTCACCCTCCACTTGTTCCAAACCTGTATGAGTTTCTTTCTTCTGTTGAACACAAAACAAGATATTTTGAAAAATGTTTGTATATGACCCCTTTAAGCAGCAAATTACAGTAAAATTGCAAGTTTGACTTTCCCTAAATACACCAAATTTGCTATTCACACAAGGAACAAGCAGTATCTAAGAATCGCGATATCAGTTGTTGAGAACTTGAGTTATTAGGACTGAATTATTATAAAATAGACATTTAGACACTTCCACCCTTCAAAGCTGGTGCTCTTTGCTCTGTGCTCGGTCATAGCAGTACGTTTTCACTGTAGAATCTTATGGAATGTTTGTCAAGATAAGAGTAGTAAGAGGTTTGCTATTTTAACCATTCTAGATTGATACCAGCCTCCTATAAATCAGACCTCCTCACTCAGCTATCAGATTTATGACAGATACTCTCTCTATAGGTGTGTCTGGGAGGCAAATTTATCTCATTACGTCATGTACTGGGTACGCCACACCTTATAAACATAACAAGGTGTATGTGTCGGCTGGCATGTGCTTGTGTGTTTATCATTAATAGGCACAATGTAATGCAGTTGTGCTTTATAAGAATGTTCACACTCACAGCATTTATGAAACAGGCAAAAGTGTTTATTTCTTTCTCTTTCTTCTTCTCTTTCTCTGACAGGGATGCAATCCATTTGCTCAGACCGGCCGCAGTAAGCTGCAGAATAAAAGAGCACGTCTCAACCAGCAAATCATCAAGCAGATGAGGATGAGAGCTGGAGCAGAGAACCTTCTCAAGTAAGTCAAGCACTTTTATGTGTGGACACAAACACAAGGGTAAATGCTCATTCATCACCCTTACCTCGCATGTTAGCCTACGGGGACATGTGTGGATATGCACACAAATGCAGGAAATCTCTCCCCCCCCCCCTCGTCAAAGTATTTCTCTTTTTGTGTGCGCGAGTGTGTGCAGAAGCAAATATTTGTGGAGCTCATCTGTAATCTGATCTGGCAGTCAGTTGTGCCTTCAGCATTTTTACCTTTAGATTTGGAGTTGATGATAGACACAGTAACATTGTGACTTTGTTAATGCTGATTACTAAAGAGACTGGGAATTGCTATATATGAGATTTTCATTTTTCAGACCTTATACCTGTGAAGCCCATAGAGTCCTTGCTAGGACATTGAAACCTGAAACCATAATATCTTAAACTCAAATATAAACTTTCTTTGCTTAGAAACATTTAACACGCAAGTCATTTTCAAACATTTTAGCAGCCAGCTGTCAACTGTGAAATGCTGGCACTGATTTGAATGGTAACCACCGGTCAGTCATGCATGCTACTATAGCTGATCCAGATGAGAGAGGAAAACTGTGTCTGACTAAAAAACATGCAAAGTATAATGCAAATATTTTTTAGTGTCACCTTTCTGATGTCCTGTAGCACGTCAAGGTGAAGAAGGTTTTCGTACAAATTAGACATCAAAAATGATAAATTATATTCACAGAATGTTAAATGCCTTTCTTCTAAAATTAATCATTTCGAATTTGAAATCTGAATCATTGTTAATAATGATATATCGGTCTATAAACAGGCTGCATGTTTTCTGTTGTATCAGTTTGTAACTAGCAATGTGTTTTGAGTAGTGATTCAAATTCTTGGCCAAAACTCAAAACCAAAACTAAAAATGGTGATTTTAATATAGCCTTTTTTTTAAATGAATAATACAATACATATATTTCTAAGTGAGTACACTCACTTCCTTCAATTGGCATTCAATTGACTTAATGATAAAATAGACAAATTATACCCCAACAGTATAATTATGCATGTGTCAGTGTTGATCAGTGTAATTTTTTTTGCGCACACTATAATGTACAGTAAACAGAATGCCATTACCTCAAAATAACTCTCACATTGTTTATTTAGATTAACATACACTACCATCTTTAATAATTTAGTAAAGTCTCTTATGCTCACTAAGACTGCATTTATTTGATCAAAAATGTAATAAAACCTTTAATATTTTGAAATGCTGTTACAATTTAAAATAAGTGTTTTCTATTTTGATGTAATTTACTTCTGTGATGGCAAAGCTGAATTTTCAGCAGCCATTACTCCAGTTTTCAGTGTCACATTATTGTTTAGAAATCATTCTAATATGCTGATTTGATGTTCAAGAAACATGTATTATTATCAATGTTGAAAACAGTTGGGCGCTTATGGAACAGCGGCGATACAGCGTTTCCTTGGTTACCGCTGTAAACGGCAGCGTTGCACTTATAAATGCATATGGAGGCAAGATGAAAAGAAAATACCATCTAACTTTTCTGAAGATAGTCGGTTCCCCTCAGAGACCGAGATACATTCATATAAACCCCCACTCTCAATTGTATTGTGATTCATTTAAAGTAGTTCACTTTAAGTCATCATTTACTCACCCTCCACTTGTTCCAAACCTGTATGAGTTTCTTTCTTCTGTTGAACACAAAACAAGATATTTTGAAAAATGTTTGTATCCGAACAGTTGATGTGCACCATTGACTTCCATAGTATTTTTTTTTCGGTCTCAGAGGATTGTGGTTTGTGGAAGAAAGGATAGCCACATAATAGATCAATTATTAGGTAGTCGTCTGCTTTTATTAACCTCCCTCCCCCCACATGTTTACCAAAATTTTTCTCTCTTTCTTTCTCTCTCTCTCTCTCTCTGTCTGTCTTTCACTCAGATCTTAAGTGGCTGTAGTCCACATTCTTGTGTGTGTGTGTTTGTTTGAATGAGCTCACAGGCCCGACCGGTTTCACAGACTGCTGATTTTGTGGGGTCCCGCCCTGCCAATGTGACTCTGAGTTGGTGTACAGAATAATACGTGACGTGACGTGACGTGACATGTGGCCAAGTATGGTGACCCATACTTGGAATTAGTGCTCTGCATTTTAACCCATCCAAGTTGATGTGCACCATTGACTTCCATAGTATTTTTTTTTTCCTACTTTGGAAGTCAATGGTGCCCGTCAGCTTCTTTTGTGTTCAACAGAAGAAAGTGAACTACTCCTTTAACAGCTCAACTGACTTGAATCGTCATATATTTTTATCGATTTTCAACCGGCTTGGTGTGCATCATTTTATCACGACTGTAAATGCTGATGCAGATTGTGTCAAGAAAGTGTAATTGTTTTATGTAAATGTACATTGTGAATGTAAATGTAAATGTTCTGTTTTAAAAGACAAGGAAGCTCTGATTGTACTTTGGTTTGCAGGACATAATTTGCCTGATTTGTAACTGGCCAGTGCTACCAGACTTATATAAATGAAACATAAGCCGGCATGAAACATTGAGATCTAATCAGCAAACACCCACATTCATACCGGTGCAGACATTCTGAATGGACAGGTACTTGTGAAGTTTACTGAACAGCTGTTGCATCTTGTTGTGAAACCCCCTGCTTATACATTACCTCTCTCAAAAGCTGCCAGTGTTTTTCCCTTTACGATGAGCACACACTGTAACATTGGACAAACCAGTCACCATGGGGATGTTAAGTGTGTCTGTTGTCTCCATGGTTTTGAAGGACACACCTGCTGGGTTGGTTCTTGGAGCAAAGCATGTGATTGGCATTGACGTCAAAGTGGCTTTAAATCTTATTAGAACTATAACATTTGGACAAGCTCTTTTCAATTAGAAACCATAAGCGAGTCTCCTTTCTTTTCCTCTCTGTGGGTTAATGATATGTTTGGGCTGTACCCTATGTTTGTTGAGTTCTTGTCATCTGGCATTGGCTGGAGTTTGGATGGATATTGTGAGTTGGCTGACTGAAACCTGGCGGAAAACCAGGCTGGATCCAAGCTGATACAAGGTTTTGGAGATTTTAATTACAAAGGAATGCTTCTGTAGGTAATGAAATTCCCACTAGTCAGCAGGTGACAGTGGGGTCATTGCAGTGCTAGGGTGTGTTTTCAAATGGCCCTGAGGTCTTCTGTCAGCCTGTTTAACACGTCCACGCAGACACGTACGCAGACTCTTAAAAACATGTCAGCAGAAGCAGTTAAAATTCAGCTTTTTGAGAGGGGATGGCAGTGCGTCTCTCACACGTGCACGCAAACACTGCCTGAGGATCTCTCTGTCGATAGTTCAGTGAAACACTCTAATTGCCTCTGTGTTTAATGTGTGATTCAGATCTAAAGAAGGCCTGGTATGTATTGTAATGATATACATGAGTTAGGTTCATAGCCCTTCGTTAGCTGTTCTCTCTTCAGAGCTGATCTGGAATGTTCCTTCATTCATGGGTCTCAGAGGATTGTGGTTCGTGGAAGAAAGGATAGCCACATAATAGATCAATTATCGTCTGCTTTTATTAACCTCCCTCCCCCCACATGTTTACCATAATTTTTCTCTCTTTCTTTCTCTCTCTCTGTCTTTCACTCAGATCTTAAGTGGCTGTAGTCCACATTCTTGTGTGTGTGTTTGTTTGAATGAGCTCACAGGCCCGACCGGTTTCACAGACTGCTGATTTTGTGGGGTCCCGCCCTGCCAATGTGACTCTGAGTTGGTGTACAGAATAATACGTGACGTGACGTGACGTGACATGTGGCCAAGTATGGTGACCCATACTTGGAATTAGTGCTCTGCATTTTAACCCATCCAATGAAACATAAGCCGGCATGAAACATTGAGATCTAATCAGCAAACACCCACATTCATACCGGTGCAGACATTCTGAATGGACAGGTACTTGTGAAGTTTACTGAACAGCTGTTGCATCTTGTTGTGAAACCCCCTGCTTATACATTACCTCTCTCAAAAGCTGCCAGTGTTTTTCCCTTTACGATGAGCACACACTGTAACATTGGACAAACCAGTCACCATGGGGATGTTAAGTGTGTCTGTTGTCTCCATGGTTTTGAAGGACACACCTGCTGGGTTGGTTCTTGGAGCAAAGCATGTGATTGGCATTGACGTCAAAGTGGCTTTAAATCTTATTAGAACTATAACATTTGGACAAGCTCTTTTCAATTAGAAACCATAAGCGAGTCTCCTTTCTTTTCCTCTCTGTGGGTTAATGATATGTTTGGGCTGTACCCTATGTTTGTTGAGTTCTTGTCATCTGGCATTGGCTGGAGTTTGGATGGATATTGTGAGTTGGCTGACTGAAACCTGGCGGAAAACCAGGCTGGATCCAAGCTGATACAAGGTTTTGGAGATTTTAATTACAAAGGAATGCTTCTGTAGGTAATGAAATTCCCACTAGTCAGCAGGTGACAGTGGGGTCATTGCAGTGCTAGGGTGTGTTTTCAAATGGCCCTGAGGTCTTCTGTCAGCCTGTTTAACACGTCCACGCAGACACGTACGCAGACTCTTAAAAACATGTCAGCAGAAGCAGTTAAAATTCAGCTTTTTGAGAGGGGATGGCAGTGCGTCTCTCACACGTGCACGCAAACACTGCCTGAGGATCTCTCTGTCGATAGTTCAGTGAAACACTCTAATTGCCTCTGTGTTTAATGTGTGATTCAGATCTAAAGAAGGCCTGGTATGTATTGTAATGATATACATGAGTTAGGTTCATAGCCCTTCGTTAGCTGTTCTCTCTTCAGAGCTGATCTGGAATGTTCCTTCATTCATGGGTCTCAGAGGATTGTGGTTCGTGGAAGAAAGGATAGCCACATAATAGATCAATTATCGTCTGCTTTTATTAACCTCCCTCCCCCCACATGTTTACCATAATTTTTCTCTCTTTCTTTCTCTCTCTCTGTCTTTCACTCAGATCTTAAGTGGCTGTAGTCCACATTCTTGTGTGTGTGTTTGTTTGAATGAGCTCACAGGCCCGACCGGTTTCACAGACTGCTGATTTTGTGGGGTCCCGCCCTGCCAATGTGACTCTGAGTTGGTGTACAGAATAATACGTGACGTGACGTGACGTGACATGTGGCCAAGTATGGTGACCCATACTTGGAATTAGTGCTCTGCATTTTAACCCATCCACACACACAACAGTGAACACACACACACTGTGAACACACACCTGGAGCAGTGGGCAGCCATTTATGCTGCGGCGCCCGGTTGGGGGTTCGGTGCCTTGCTCAAGGGCACCTCAGTCGTGGTATTGAAGGTGGAGAGAGCGCTGTACATTCACTCCCCCCCACCTACAATCCCTGCCGGTACGAGACTCGAACCCGCAACCTTTGGGTTACGAGTCAGACTCTCTAACCATTAGGCCACGACTTCCCCTATAATACTTTATACAGGGCATGAGATCTTTAAAAAAATGATGACCCCTTCTGCTGTTGAAACTGCACCACTGACTCTATTACAATAGAAAATGTGGAAAGCAGAGAGAGGTGCAAGTAATCTTCCATTCTCAGTTGACATTTCCATGTGTTTCCATCAGTGAGAGATGTGTTAGGTATTCAACAAAGAGCAAACATGACTCATTAAAGTAATATTTACTTTAAAATGAAAGAACATCCTGATCTGCATTATGTCATAGGCCTCGGGACTCTCTAAAATAAATCATGTCATTACATGTAACAGATGGAATCAGCAATATTCCTCTGTATCTTAACATTATCTTTTTATTTATTTATTTTTGTTTGTTTGTTTCTAATAGTTTTTTAAAAAATGATGACCCCTTCTGCTGTTGAAACTGCACCACTGACTCTATTACAATAGAAAATGTGGAAAGCAGAGAGAGGTGCAAGTAATCTTCCATTCTCAGTTGACATTTCCATGCGTTTCCATCAGTGAGAGATGTGTTAGGTATTCAACAAAGAGCAAACATGACTCATTAAAGTAATATTTACTTTAAAATGAAAGAACATCCTGATCTGGATTATGTCATAGGCCTCGGGACTCTCTAAAATAAATCATGTCATTACATGTAACAGATGGAATCAGCGAATAGTAATACATACTGTATGTGATTAGTATAGAAGTACATACGTTATTATATAATAAAGGATTCTTTAGGATTCTCTCTTTTCCCCTCAGGTGAGTATGTTTGAGAACCACTAGGCATGTATGTGATTAAAATAGGAGACCGTGATTAACAGTTTGGCACAAGTGCACTGTAAAAAATGACCGTGAATTTAACAGTAAAAGACTGTAAAAATGCTACAGTAAAAACCTGTTAAATGGTTAACAGTAAATTCCCCTACTATATACGGTGAAAAACTGTATTGGACTTTAATTTTACGGTAGTATACCGTTTTTGGAAGTGAAAAAGACTGTATAATGTTTTTCATCATCAATAACAATATTGTTAACAATATTAACAATATAATAATAAGTTTCTTTATTACTTAATTTTAGTTTCACTTTTTTGTTTGCTCTCCATCAATTCTGTCTTTTATTATTATTATTATGAAGTAGGTCATCCTCAAGCTTGTTACATTTAGTTCTGATATTTTATCTGGTTTTATGTAGAGTACTTTTTGTAATGCTTTTTCATTGTTAGGCACTTTGAGCTGAATTTTAGTTTGAAGCTATTACAGCACTATACAAATAAAATTGTTAATAATAATAATAATAATAATGAATAGTAATACATACTGTATGTGATTAGTATAGAAGTACATACGCTATTATATAATAAAGGATTCTTTAGGATTCTCTCTTTTCCCCTCAGGTGAGTATGTTTGAGAACCACTAGGCATGTATGTGATTAAAATAGGAGACCGTGATTAACAGTTTGGCACAAGTGCACTGTAAAAAATGACCGTGAATTTAACAGTAAAAGACTGTAAAAATGCTACAGTAAAAACCTGTTAAATGGTTAACAGTAAATTCCCCTACTATATACGGTGAAAAACTGTATTGGACTTTAATTTTACGGTAGTATACCGTTTTTGGAAGTGAAAAAGACCGTATAATTTACAGTGAATAACCGTAAATTGACATTCCCAGAATTCCCTGCATTACATTTAAAATTTGATGTTTTTTTGTTGAAGTAACTGTTTCTTCTTATTTTTTTCTTATCAATTTTGTATATTAGGGTTGTGTGTTACACCTAATGTTGTTAAATGAATGTTTATTGCATTATTTCAGTTTCATGTGTGTTACCATGATGGTGTTTAGCGTTTGTGTGAATGACACTGTGCACCTTCTTTACATGTTATTATTTAAAAGCTGCTTGCGATGGGCTTTAGTTCATCGTGACATTCTCATCACCACCTGCGTTTGGTGGTTATCAGTGTATTACAAAAGTACAAAACAGATTACAGTACTTCAATAGGTTGGTATATTAACATTATATCAGTTAATGAAATTACGGTATTTAACTGTAAATTTAGGTTAAAACCGTAAAAAAAACTAAAACATTGCTACCGTATTTTTTTTTACGGTAAAATTCCGGCCACCACAGCTGTCGGTTTTTTACCGTAAATTTTACGGAGTTTTTTTTACAGTGTGTGACGTTGCCTGTTTGAATAAGAGGTCAAAAGTCTCCGGTCCAACCTGACCTGCTCACCTTCATCTCGCTTCCTCCCATTGTCCAGAGTTTAGAATAGCAGTCAGACAAAACAGGGTCACTATGCAAATGTTCCTCTGTGACTCTATAAGGTTTTGCATTTTATTGACTGTAGTTAGGCATATTTCTCTTTTATATTTAGTATGTGTTGTATCAGGATTGTGCAGTTGAATTCTAAAGTCTTTTCTTCGACAAACGTGGCTGTACTGCCCACTCACCACTTATATCATGTGCTTGGGAGCACACAAAATAACAAAGACTCCCGTCTTATCAGCCTCTTCCTTCTGCACTGTAGATTTTGAGGAGTTGCATATGACCTTCGATTATCTTCTCTCTTTCAAGGGCGACGTCCAATAATAAGGTTCGGGAGCAGGTGGCGCTGGAGTTGAGTTATGTCAACTCAGATCTGCAGCTTCTTATGGAGCAGCTGGAAGGACTCAACAGCTCTGTGGACGTTTATCAGAACGTACAGTAAGTACATGCAGCACTGATTAGGATGAAGAAAGTTACAGTGAGAACATTCAGATTAAGATCCATTCTAGAGACAGAATGCACAGTTACTGCTCTTAATCGTAATCTTAATCACACATGCCCAGTTCCTCTGGACACATGGATCCTCCCTGAGGTATTACAGTAATGTAAGAGGTGTGTACAGAATGACATAAGAGCAGCTGAACTCTCTGCTCACATTTTCTGTACTGACCTCTGGATATTTAAATTTGGTTAATAAGTGTTAAACAGAACACAGAGGACCACATGGTTATTAGTAGTTAGAAGTGTAATCAAACTGACCAAAATATTTCATTGATAATGAGGATGTTTAATATTTTGTGAATGTAGGTGTTTGAATTTAGTGGAAATCCGCAAAGCTTTTTTGAAATTTCTGTGGCTACATATTCCACGTAGGCTGATTATTATTATTATTTCTGTCAGGACCACTATCGTCAAAATGATAGATACTTAGCATAAAGTTTGGTTTGGCGGTATGGTTCTGTTCTGGGCAAAAAACCTCCCTGCCCATCCATGCAGCCTGTCATGAATGAGCAGGGAGAGCAACAATAATAACCCCCCCCTGAACTCTCTGCTCACATTTTCTGTACTGACCTCTGGATATTTAAATTTGGTTAATAAGTGTTAAACAGAACAGAGAGGACCACATGGTTATTAGTAGTTAGAAGTGTAATCAAACTGACCAAAATATTTCATTGATAATGAGGATGTTTAATATTTTGTGAATGTAGGTGTTTGAATTTAGGGGAAATCAGCAAAGCTTTTTTGAAATTTCTGTGGCTACATATTCCACGTAGGCTGATTATTATTATTATTTGTATCGGACAGTCTCCTCTACTTTTGCTACCCATGCTTTCCTTAATTAAAAAACACTGAACAGCCCACTCCTTATACTTCTCCTGTGAACTTGCGTTAAGTTTAAAGAAAAGACCAGAAATGGGCTCATTGGTCAATCAGTTTCTTTCTACATTAATTCCCAATAGAACGAGACTCTGTTCCACATAATTGATCAGACGGGTTTATGAGGAGGTGGTTTGACAGGTTGAGATCCTCCTTTCATACATGTTTCCCCCTCACGTGTCAGAAGAGGATGCAAGAGTGTTTTCCTTTTAATTTTAATTCTGTTTCTGTTGCCTTTTCCATGGTATCACAATTATAGCATGTATGACAAATTCTTTTTCTGCCATCAAATTCTCTTCTGTCAGTTAACATGTTAACAATGTTTTGGCTAAAAATGGTCATACCTTAAAACAGATAGCAATAGAGAGAGAAATGCATGTCGTCTATATTCAAGGATGTTCAAGGACGTTCAAACCCTACAGCCAAAATGAAAGGATTTTTCATTCAGTCACGCTGTCTATATTTTGTGTTCAGATTGTAGACCTTGAGTGTGTTTCCTTGGTTACGGTTGGATTCTTGTCCTCTTTAAATCCTCTCTAAGCCCTCTTTTGCCTCTCAGGCCACTGTGAGTGAGAGTGTGTATGCACCCTTGAGTGTCTTTGGCATGCTTCACTGTCTGCACGAGAACAGGCATCTTTCTCCGCTCTAAGAAAGCTCAGCCATATTTTCAGCTCAAACCCTGCTTAACTAATCTGTGCTGGCCTAGTTTTTTTCAGTATTAGCTTCATAACCTGTTGAGGCTTACAACCTCAGGTTTGTTCCTCTGGGCCAAGCACTAATGAAAGAGTGTTTATCCTCTGTGCCTGGAGGGTTCATAGTAAACCAGAAAAACCTCCTGCAGACATTTGCACCTGATTCTGAACTGCTGACCTACATCCGTAATTACAACTCACCGTAAAGCTGTAAACATGAGAGACAATCACTCACTTTCATGTCGTTCCAAACTTGAATGACTTTCTTTCTTCTGCGGAACACAAAAAAAAAGATATTTTGAAGAATGTTTTAACTGTTTTTGTCCATACACGCTAAAAAAAAGATTTCAAATCAAAGCTAAATAAAATATTATTGGAGTATGTTTTACAAGAAAATACTATTTCAGTGTTTCTACTTCAAAATTTCACATTCAATGTGTTATTTGCCCTTTCTTTTAAACAATTTCAACTAATTACAAAGTAAATCAATGTGTAATGAAAGTCAGTGGGGTACAATTTTCAGTACAATACTACACCCCCTTGCATGGTCAAATAACAAAATATGTTATCGGAAAAACATCTCATTTTTATTTTTGGGTGAACTGTCCCATTTGGCAGAACCATAGTTTGTTTATTTATATATATTTTTTAGAAGAATTTAGCTCTCTTAGTCTATATGATGTTCTGTAATATATGTGACCCTGGAGCACAAAACCAGTCTTAAGTCGCTGGGGTATATTTGTAGCAATAGCTAACAATGCATTTTATGGGTCAAAATTATAGGTTTTCTTTTAAGCCAAAAATCATTAGGATATTAAGTAAAGATCATGTTCCAAGAAGATATTTTGTACATTTCCTACAGTAAATATATCAAAACTTAATTTTTGATTAATAGTATGCATTGCTAAGAACTTTATTTGGACAACTTTAAAGGCGATTTTCTCAGTATTTAGATTTTTTTGCACCCTCAGATTCTAGATATTCAAATAGTTGTATCTCGACCAAATATTGTCTTATCCTAACAAACCATATATACATCAATGGAAATCTTATTTATTCAGCTATATCAGATATATCATTACATGATTATATAATGATATATAAATCTCAATTTTGAAAAATTGGCACTTAAGACTGGTTTTGTGGTCCAGGGTCACATATGGGTTTGGCTTGACTCTGCTGGAATTATGCTCAAATAAATCAAAATATATTTATTCCCTCAGTTTCAAAAAGCCAACAAGTGGTTAGATGAGTAGTTTTGATTGTTTGAGTTTGGTCCCTTCATGATCCCAATACTTCCATTTGTTTTGTTTTGACCTTTTTTGAATGTTGTTATTATTATGACTTTGTATAACCCTGCTTTATTTGTCCAGTTAAACAAACATTTACATTTAGTCATTCAGCAGATGCTTTTATCCAAAGCGACTTACAAATGAGGACAATAAAAGCAGTCCAACAAACAACAAACAAAGCCTATCACCTTCTATGTATGATTGAGTGTGAGAAAAGGAGTATTCCCATTGGTGCAGTGTTATCACCTGTGTTTCATGAACAGAACAAGGTCTTCCTGTAGCTGCGCACAATGTGGCATTCTCCATCGCACCTGGCTGCCAGCTTACTGTGTGTGTGTGTGTGTGTGTGTGTGTGTAAGTAAAAGGACAGAACTGCATTCTTTCATTTCTTTCAAGCCCCTGCACCCCCTCTGTCCCTCTGTCTTGTTTTTGAAACACAAACTTTTTTCTCATGGCCTGAAGAGTGCACGGGAACAAAACCTGTCTTCTGTTCTCTGTGTGTCTCATTGCAGTGAATTTGCTGTCATGAACTAAGAATGAACAGTACTCATACAGCATTTATTAATCTAGATTATTTGTAAATATTACTGTTCATTAATAAATGGTTAATGTCAATTTATACAACTCACAATGCAAAAAAAATGTTTTATTATACACTACTGTTTTGAGATTTGAGTTTTTTTTAAGAAGACATGATCACAAAGGCCGCATTATTATAAATACAGTAAAATTACATGTACAGTAAAAACAGTAATGTTGTAAAATATTATTATAATTTAAAAGAACTGTTTTCTATTTTAATATATAATTTATAAACTAATTTATTCCTGGGAGCTGAATTTTCAGCAGCAATTACTCCAGTCTTCAGTGTCCCATGATCTTTCAGAAATCATTTTCAACTTTTGTCATTGAAAATGGTTGTGCTGCTTAATATTTTTACGGAAACCGCAATGCATTGTTTTGTGTGTGTGTTTGATTCTTTGATGAATAGGCATTTAAGCATTTATTTGAAATCTAAATATTTTGTAACATTATAAATGTCTTTACTGTCACTTTTAAATAATTCTTTAATTTCTAACTGACCCTAAACTTTGAATGGTAGTGCATATAGGAATTAAATTTAACCCAGATTAATAAATGATGTTAAATTATTGATCATAGTTCATTATACCAAATGCATTAACCAATGTTAAGTAATTGAACCTACATATTCTTTCTGCTTTGATTTCTTCAGTTTTTTTTTTTTTTTGTTCATACAGTATTTTGTTTATTTCAGCACCTCCTTGAAGCATTAGTGATATTTCCTCTGATCCAGTAATATTTCTTACAAATATTCCCCTAAACCACACTGGGGCTGGACTGTTACCTGTCATAGACTCAATCAGGACAGACCAGGACTGCCTCTCTTCAGCTCACACTCATGTGTTCTCTCGTCTATCTTCACTCAGACTGCTCTGAGCTAATGCCCCACCAGTGCAAGCATTGTAGTCAATGCAGTTACAACACAAACATAAATATAATATGTATGCTATTTAATCACGTACATGAAAGTGTGATCAGCACAAACTACCCACTCTTACGCTTACACACACACATACCTCTTTCTTGGGTCAAAGTTTTTTAATTGGCAATATTTATTTTTATAACGTAAGTAGGTCAAATGGCTTGTGATGGAAAACCATCTTCCACTCTGGTATCAGCTTATTCAGTCTTAGGGATGATTGAAACTGGCATAGAATTGTTTCAGCTCTGAGTCACACAGAGAGTAGGAGGTCTGGCATCGCTGAATCACTGGCCTATGAATGGTCTGGCCTTTCTTAAGTCTTATTTTTTCTTACTGAATGTGTTCTCATCTTAGTTTTTCTAAATTTAATTTAGAATCTGTCTTTTGATTCATTTTACAGAGAGACATCCAGCATTCCACTCATCCCTCTGGGACTGAAGGAGACAAAGGATGTGGATTTCTCAGTTGCTCTCAAGGTCAGTTTCTTTCACAGCACACCCCCAATGTTAACTTCAGTTATCAGGCCTTCCGTCAAGTGGCTTGTGTGAGACTAAGCTTTTCTAAGTGAAAATGGGAAGTAGGAAAATAAACAATGGAGCCAAAGACTCAATAAAACTTTAATTGTGGTTTTGAAAGTCTACAGTGATGTTTGATGCATGCCCCTTATTATCTTCTAAATAAGTGGGTGTTGAGATGTTTGTTGAGAGACGAGGATCAATCAGATGGGTTTTGGTATGCTTCCAACCTGTAATTTAGTCGAACTGTAATGACAAAGCAATGGTGAATCTATGACACTGTCATTGTTTTCTCACTACAGACAAGTTTAGCCAGGAGAGCAGGCCTGTGAATATGTGACTGTGACGTTTTTGTGTTTGCTTTGACACCGAGAGTAAATGGATATGAAATTTGTTTTCAACAGGACTTCATCCTGGAACACTACAGTGAAGATGGCTCAAACTTTCAGGTTGAGATTGATGACCTGATGGATCTGAGACAGGTATGATGTGACCTCTGTAAAAGTGTTTGGTTCGATTCTCTGTTTAAATTCATAAAATTGCATGACCTTAAAAAAAAACTTACAGTAGACAGGCTCAGAAACACTGATTGACACACAACTGATTGAAGTGAATGTGTGCATTTCAGGCCTGTCGGACCCCCAGTCGTAATCCTTCTGGTGTAGATTTGCTTGCCAGCTACTTCAGTCAACTTTCCTTCTTAGAACCTCGATTCTTCTCCCCTACATGCCAGATTGGCATTTTCTTCACTTGGTACGTTGCATCTCACCCACACCAGCAGTAATATGCTTGTAATGACATTATACACCACTGAATCAGCTGTAAGTTTTTTAATTGGCAATATTTATTTTTATAACGTAAGTAGGTCAAATGGCTTGTGATGGAAAACCATCTTCCACTCTGGTATCAGCTTATTCAGTCTTAGGGATGATTGAAACTGGCATAGAATTGTTTCAGCTCTGAGTCACACAGAGAGTAGGAGGTCTGGCATCGCTGAATCACTGGCCTATGAATGGTCTGGCCTTTCTTAAGTCTTATTTTTTCTTACTGAATGTGTTCTCATCTTAGTTTTTCTAAATTTAATTTAGAATCTGTCTTTTGATTCATTTTACAGAGAGACATCCAGCATTCCACTCATCCCTCTGGGACTGAAGGAGACAAAGGATGTGGATTTCTCAGTTGCTCTCAAGGTCAGTTTCTTTCACCGCACACCCCCAATGTTAACTTCAGTTATCAGGCCTTCCGTCAAGTGGCTTGTGTGAGACTAAGCTTTTCTAAGTGAAAATGGGAAGTAGGAAAATAAACAATGGAGCCAAAGACTCAATAAAACTTTAATTGTGGTTTTGAAAGTCTACAGTGATGTTTGATGCATGCCCCTTATTATCTTCTAAATAAGTGGGTGTTGAGATGTTTGTTGAGAGACGAGGATCAATCAGATGGGTTTTGGTATGCTTCCAACCTGTAATTTAGTCGAACTGTAATGACAAAGCAATGGTGAATCTATGACACTGTCATTGTTTTCTCACTACAGACAAGTTTAGCCAGGAGAGCAGGCCTGTGAATATGTGACTGTGACGTTTTTGTGTTTGCTTTGACACCGAGAGTAAATGGATATGAAATTTGTTTTCAACAGGACTTCATCCTGGAACACTACAGTGAAGATGGCTCAAACTTTCAGGTTGAGATTGATGACCTGATGGATCTGAGACAGGTATGATGTGACCTCTGTAAAAGTGTTTGGTTCGATTCTCTGTTTAAATTCATAAAATTGCATGACCTTAAAAAAAAACTTACAGTAGACAGGCTCAGAAACACTGATTGACACACAACTGATTGAAGTGAATGTGTGCATTTCAGGCCTGTCGGACCCCCAGTCGTAATCCTTCTGGTGTAGATTTGCTTGCCAGCTACTTCAGTCAACTTTCCTTCTTAGAACCTCGATTCTTCTCCCCTACATGCCAGATTGGCATTTTCTTCACTTGGTACGTTGCATCTCACCCACACCAGCAGTAATATGCTTGTAATGACATTATACACCACTGAATCAGCTGTAAACATTACAACTCGTTCAGAGGAAACACACAACTGGTCTGACTGGGCTGTCAGGCTGCCATTGTTGTTTCTATGTTTATACATCTTGCTTTTTCATTCATTTATACCCTAGAGACAAAGGTAGATAACAGGATAAAGAACAAAAATCATCATAAAAAAACTAAAAACAAAGAGAAGTAGCTGAATTACTAATAAAGCTACAGGACGCACTTCAGCATTGCATATTTAACCAAACTAAAAATAAGCCTCATCAGTGCTTTTGTCAACATGAGTTTTAACACATTTTTTGTGCCTACGCAGGTATGACTCTTTTACCGGTGTGCCTGTGTGCCAGCAGAACATCTCTCTGGAGAAAGCCAGCATACTCTTCAACATGGCAGCACTATGCTCCCAGATTGGAACCCGCACCGACAGACAGACACAAGCTGGACTCGAGGACGCCATTGCTGCCTTCCAGAAATCCGCAGGTGAGAGGTTTTAAGTAGATGCACTTGACCAGTAAAGATGCACATAACCAGTTTGGAACATCAGTAATGTGGTACAGATCCAGATTAGTTTGTAAGAAGGCAAGGAAAGTATCCAAAACTCCCATGAACTCCTGCCTTGTGAGAACAGACCATATATTCGGGTTCTGGTTGTGTTTCAAGGTGGAGAGAACATGATGTAATTCTTCCCCCTCATCAGCTGATCTGTCAAAGGCTCATGGGAACTCAGTGGCTTGTGTCAGTTTTTAACCTCCTTAAAATAACAGCAGCATAAAGAGAGATTTGGCTGGCTTTCTTAAGCTATCAAAACAGCCTACCCCGCTGTCTTTCATCACATTGAATGTTTTGTATTTCTCCACCGGAAAGAAGGACCAAATATAATCTCTCTCTCACCTTTTGTTGTTGTGATTATGACAAAGATTGATTGACACATTGTCCTACAAGTCTTTTTTTATCTCTAAGATGTGTTTGTAAAAGCATTAAAAGGAGGAAATGACAGTGCTTTTTACATAAGCCAAATAATGTTGGGAAGTTTAAGAAATTACCTAGAATTTTGGTAACACTTTATTTTAAGGACCAATTCTCACTATTAACTAGCTGCTTATTAACATGCATATTGCTAGCATACCGGCTGTTTATTAGTACTTATAATGCACATATGCACATACTAAAAACCTTTGAAACATTTGAAATCTAATGCCTTATTCTATATGATGACCATCATTTAGATCCCTTAATCCTAATCCTTAACTAAAATAAACTAAACCAGCAAATTAGGAGTTTGAGGAATTCTTAATTAATAGTGAATGTGTTCCCTATTCTAAAGTGTTACCAGAATTTTTGTTTAAATTTCTTTAAATTTAATTTACCCACTGCTGCATTTGAATGCAAATATAAGGGGACTGATTTGTATAGATGCACACTCTGATATTAAATTCTGCTTAATTCTGTCTGTTTGATTTTGTTCGTGTATGTTCTACTGCAGGTGTGCTGCACTACCTGAAGGAGACATTTACACACACTCCCAGTTATGATATGAGCCCTGCAATGCTGAGCATGTTGATCCGGCTGATGGTAGCACAGGCGCAGGAGTGTATGTTTGAGCAAATTACTCTTCCAGGAATCCGAAATGAGTTCTTCAGCCTGCTCAAAATAGCGCAAGAGGCTGCCAAGGTACTAAAAAAATCTGTGATATTACAGTTATTAGTTCAGCAAGGATGTATTAAATTGATCAAAAGGGGCTTTAAAGACTATTTCAAATAAATTATTTTGTTTCAAACATTTGAAATCTATTAATCTAAGAATCAGTTTGCACGAAATTAATTAAAAATAATTAAGCAGTATCGTTTTCAACATTGATAATAATAAATGTTTCTTGAGCAGCCAATCAGCATATTAGAATGATTTCTGAAGGGTCATGTGACCCTGAAGACTGGAGTAATGATGCTGAAAATTCAGCTTTGCCATCACATAATTTACGTTTTAAAATATAGTCAAATACAAAATGGCTATTTTAAATTTGAATAATATTTCACGTGGTGAGTATAAGAGACTTCTTTCAAAAACAATCTTACTGACTCTAAACTTTTGAACGGTAGCGCAAAAAAAAAAAATCAAAGAATATGCTATGATGCATTTTTCGTATGTTCTTTCTGTTGTAATTCATACATGAATACATGACCTATTGATCCTATCAGTATGCGGGTCTGTTTCAAAGCCTAAGGTTATGCCTCTGTTCAGAGTGCTTGTGACATTTACCCCTTTCTCCTTTATATTCTCAGGTGGGGGAAACCTACAGTGAAGTTCACCAGTCCATGATCCAGACCCCCATTAAGAACAACGTGCCCTTTTTCTGGACCACCATGTCCGAGCTGAAGACCAATCACTACAACTCTCTTGCCCATTACTTTGTCTCCACCGCTCTGCTGGACCACCATTGTAAGTCAAGCATTCAATCACAGCAGCCCACTGGAACTTTTAAAGGAGACATATTATGCCCTTTTTTACAATATGTAATATAAGTCTCTGGTGTCCCCAGAATGTGTCTGTGAAGTTTCAGCTGAAAATACCCCACAGATCATTTATTATAACATTTTGAAAATGCCTATTTTGAGTGGAAGCAGAAACACGCTGTTTTTCGTGTCTGTCTCTTTAAATGCAAATGAGCTGCTGCTCCCCGCCCCCTTTTCCAGAATAGAGCTGCGCCATTACAGCTCGGACCTGCTAAAAACATGTGTTTTGGTTCTGATTTATCATGTTTATCGTGCTGAAATCATGCATTTTAAACCATATAAGTTTAAACTTCTGATATACGGTTTTCTGAGCGCACACATCCGAAGCACACGGACAGAAAGCGGCTGTCATAGCATGTGAGTACTAAACTAAATTCTCATTCACACACAAGTTTACGTTAAAAACACACGTGAGTTACAAAAAACAGTCGGTTATGTCTGTGAAGGTAAACAGCTGGGAAATAAATTGCATGTTTATTTTAGATCTGTGTGGCAGCAGTAATATACAGTAAATAAATCAATAAATCCACTGATCTCTTGTCTCTGGGACTGGGACTCTAAACAGTGTTCTGTGCTCGTCTGTGCAGACGAAGACAGAACAGTTAGCATGTTTTCCTCAAACTTTCACCATGGCATTAGAGCTGGTACACCGTTGTCGCTTGCGAAATCAAAATGACAAAATGATGTCACCTTTAAAAGGTTACCTTTGTGTCTCATTCTTAGAAAATGGATTCAGGTATCAGTGCTTTAATGGATTTTTATTCTAAGATGATTTTTTAAGGACATAAAGAGGGAGGTAGAAGAAAGGCAGAGACGGTTTAGTATCTCGGTCAGCATTTGACAGTGTTCTGATAGACTGTGCCAGAACAAATGGGATTATGTAACATTCTTGTTGTTATTCAAGCAGTCACTCCCCCATCCCCTCCCTCTCTCTCTTCTGTTTTTTTTTTGTTTTTTTTTTGTCTCCGTGACAGACATTTTTAGCTATTAAGAAGTTCATTTGGACTCAACAGACCAAGTAAATACACAATGGGTTTTGTAAATGCCTTAACATTTAACATGGCCTCTGTGGAATGCGATGAAATTTACAGGAATGGACATGTTTTCTGTTTTATTGAACAAATCAATGCAGTGTTTAAATATTGGTGATTTATGTGTCTGTATGTGTAGTGACACCCAGTGATGACGAGGACAAGCAAGAGAAGGCTCTGTCACAACTATATGATACCATGCCAGAGGGACGTTCTCCTCTTGACATTCTAAAGGATAAGGAGGAGAGACGGCGGATAGGTGAGAGGCTCCTATATACAGACCTGTCTGGTTACATAGTGTAAATGATTGGGATATTCCAATTAAGCACACTAAACTAACATTTTCTGTCTGTTTGCTCAGGTAAAGCTCATCTGCAGCGCTCCATCATGGGACACGAAGAGGCCATCCGCACACATTCTCGCTGTCGACACCTGCAAAAACTGGACATCCTGAGTGACATCCTACAAGCTGGCCTCAAGCGCGCTCTTACCAAGTTTGAACAAAACGACAAGGAAGATGAGTTCACAGACTACATGCTTGCGCCAGATATCATCTGTGAGTCTGAGACAGACAACTGATATTAATGGTCACACTAGACCAGGGCTGTCCAAACTCGGTCCTGGAGGGCCGGTGTCCTGCAGAGTTTAGCTCCAACTTGCCTCAACACACCTGACTGGAAGTTTCTATGCCTAGTAAGAGCTTGATTAGCTCGTTCAGGTGTGTTTAATTAGGGTTGGAGCTAAACTCTGCAGGACACCGGCCCTCCAGGACCACGTTTGGACAGCCCTGCACTAGACTTTCTACTTTCTAAAATGTTTACAGTCACTGCAACGGTCGTAATATGACGTCACACTCTAAAAATATCTACTCCACTTTATTGCAACACTGCAATCCTGCAGATTTAAAATTTGTGTTCTTTTAATTCAGCTAAGAGTCATGCCTTCATGATAGAAATTCGGAGGGCAGAGTTCATTAAACTTGAACATTGGAACACTGTGCAATTCGCATGAGCTTGCATTTCCTGTCTCTCACATTTGCATGAGTATTATGGAAGTCAGTGGAGCGAAAAGTGTAGTGTGTCAGAAACGCATTTAAGCATGACACATTTGTATCATAAACACTAATGCATCCGGATGTGTCCTGGCTCATTTGAGATGCATGTTGCTTACTGGTATAAATAAATGTTCTGTCTCGCCTGATCACGTGATTGGCTCATTATGTAGAAAGTTGTTATCGTTTGTTTGTTTAAATCTAAAAAGTGTCCTATATGCAACGGTGAGTTTGTTTTGGCCGAAGCATCGCAGTTTAAACTGCGATTTGGTCTGAATGAGATTTTCAGAATAGAACCTGCATCTTACTGTAGAGAACCACAGTGGTTATGTAAGTTCAGTTGACCGTGTAAATATGCTGTAACCCTGTTTTCTTCCTCCTCTGTCAGCTAAAACAGAAAAGAAAGCGGAGATGGAAATTCCAGCTGCCACCAAGGTGAAAGTCAAAGACCTATTCCAGCGGCTGGTATGTGGGCTACTAATTTTACTCAAAGACATTTTGAGCTCTTTTCACAGCACAGGAATGCTCTTGCAAATTTGCAGGTTTCTTAGTACACCGAATAGTTTTACACTACATCTAAGTATCCTGTGAGCATGTGTGCTGTTGAACAGACCCATGTTGATTGACCTGTACACACTGGCCAAACAGACCACAACCTCAACAATCCAAGGTTCTAGTTTCATTAGTAAAACCAAAATACTGCAATCAGTTGGGAATGGCACCAAGTTGTAATTTTGAATTTTTGGGGAATCTGTTTGGTCAGTCTGTAGAGTATTATACTCCTTTTACAATACTAATATGAATAACCCTGGTTTGAACATGAATTTCAAAGTTCTATGACATCCTGTTACTATGACTTTATGAAACTCAAATCAACTTTGTCATCACTATTACCTAACTCATACTTTGTGTTAGGGGTTTGAACAAACTCCTAACCTTAAGTATTTAATGTTGGCACAAAACTCATCCTTCACTATTTGTCCACAGACAGATACTTATTGAACAGCTTGTTGAGGGGAGATGTGCTGTTACATTTTAAAGTGTTTTTAAAACTTGATTCCTCCTAAAAACATTAGTTTTTAGGAGAAATAAAGTGTATAGAATTGTCACGTCACAGTGTAAAGAGTGTAACGTTATTTTGGATTATTGCAGAAAATAAGCTCTGTGACCATTAAATGTTTAGAATTTGTATATGTTTTGTTCTTCAAGATAATCTTCACAGATGAACATAACTTTTATGAATTTTGAAGCCTAAATACAGTTGGCAAAAGTAAAAAGCTAAAATAACTTTACCACGGTCTCATGACTTCAACGCCATCATCACTAAACTAATTACAAAATTACAAAAATGACTGGCTTCAGAACAATGGAAACGGTAGTGCAAAAATGCTAACTTTTTATGACTCATTGCTGCAAACCTTTTTTTGGATTTTCATTGGGTTTTAATAAAAAAAATAAAAATAATTCCTCTAATTATGATATATCAGGATGGTGTGGTTGTACCATCCTGATTGTTTTATGCCCACTCAATATAAAGGTGATTTTTAATTTAAGAATTAAAAACATGTTCATCATAGAAAAGGTTTGTCATATGTTTTAACTGCATTTTTAACGTATTAAATTGAATAGATGAGACAAAAAAAATAATGTGATGGAATTTGTCTTTATTTTGGGTTTGATTTCTGTAATACCTCAAGTCTTCCTCTGCAGAAATTCTGTCAAATAAAAAAACATTTGAGAACCACATTGACGTATATATTCCGTTCCCTCCGGCTGTGGGGAGCAGGGTAATTCAGGTGAAGGAGGCAGAGTTTATGATGTGGTTAGTTTTATGGAAGCGTATGTTTGAGTTTTACCGCCTTCAGATGTCTGAGTGACCTTCAGAGAGTTTAAAGAACCACTGCTGTGATCCTGTAGCAGTTGCCATGGGCACTTTAAATGACCCCCTCACTTGAATTACATTTCCGTAATACACAGGGAGTTCAGTTTTACATATAAGCTTTGCAAGTCCTTAATGGTGTTGAGTGGCCTTTTTGAGGCAGAGGTCAACCATATGCTGCATATGCCTTAAACCAGTGGTTCTGAACCTTGATGACTTTAAAGGGATACTCCACCCCAAAATGAAAATTTTGTCATTAATCACTCACCCTCATGTCGTTACAAACCCGTAAAAGCTTAGTTCGTCTTCGGAACACAATTTAAGATATTTTGGATGAAAACCCACGCTGAACGCAAGCAGCGTACGCTCTTCTGTGTCAGCCGCGCTGCACGGATGCACTGTTTTCGTTCAAATCAAAGCGTAAATACACATAGAAAACGTATCCTTGTGTCGCGGCTGACACAGAAGAGCGTACGCTGCTTGCGTTCAGCGGATATTCTCCAAAATGGCACTACAATGATGCGGAGAGACACAGAGGAGACAAATTGTTGAATAAAGTCGTTATTTTTGTTTTCTTCACATACAAAAAGTATTCTCGTCGCTTCATAATGTTACGGTTGAACCACTGATGGCTGATGGACTATTGGATAAGCCTCCCGGTTTTCATCCAAAATATCTTAAATTGTGTTCCAAAGATGAACGAAGCTTTTACAGGTTTGGAACGACATGAGGGTGAGTAATTAATGACAGAATTTTCATTTTGGGGTGGAGTATCCCTTTAAAGGGGTCATATGATGCAATTTCAAGTTTTCCTTTCTCTTTGGAGTGTTACAAGCTGGTTGTGCATAGATAAGATCCCTGAAGTTGCAAAGACTAAAGTCTCAAAACCAAAGAGATATTCTTTATCAAAGTTAAGACTTTGCCACGCCCCCCTAAGGGGCCATTCACATATCGCGTTTTTTGCGCACTCAAGTTCGTTATTTCAAATGTAGACGCGCGGCAGGCGCGCTCATAATGGAAGCGACGTGGTCGCGACGCGCACGAGGTGCGACGCGCTAATTTTTTCTAGGCGCATCGAGATAAAAACATTTAAACTTTTCTGAATTCCGCAAGCGCACCGCGGGTCAACGCCTAGCACATATCTACCTCACTATGTGGAAATATTAGCATAATGCGGCCCAAATGTGCACGCAAAGAAAGAAGGCGTGGTTTCAGTAACCGCAGTTAGTGTTGAAGCAGCCATGTCAGGGAGACGCTGTGTGTTTCTAGGCGAAAGCAAAAGCACTTTATTTGGCCTTCCGAAAGTAAGGCATTTAGAAATCTTTAAGATTACTTACAACAGAACAGCAATGCATTTTATGGACGACCGTTTCGTGAACCTAGGAGAGGAGGTAATTCTAACTTTGCTATGACAATCTGGCGCTTCTGAATCAGCTACTGTTTTGTTATTAGTTTAAGTATTTGCTATTGACTCCAAATGCGGAGTTTTGCGCTCTGTGTGTGTGTGTGTGTGTGTGTGTGCGTGCGTGCGAGGGAGAGGTGTGTGTGTGTGCGTGTGCGCGCGCGAGAGAGAGAGCTGTGTGTGTGTGTGTGTGTGTGTGTGTGTGTCGCGCGAGAGCGAGACACATCACAGCGGAGCCAGCCGTCTAATGCGGAGTTTTGCGCTCTGTGTGTGTGTGTGCGTGCGTGCGAGGGAGAGGTGTGTGTGTGTGTGTGTGTGTGTGAGAGAGAGAGCGCTGTGTGTGTGTGTGTGCGCGCGCGAGAGAGAGAGCTGTGTGTGTGTGTGTGTGTGTGTGTGTGTGTGCGCGAGAGAGGGACATAGAGAGAGAGAGCGAGAGCGCGAGACACATCACAGTGGAGTCTTAACCATGGCTTGTGTACTGCAAACACATATTCATCGCTGTGTCTGTCACGCGACTCTGTTCCCCTTTCGGGCTCTGTCTTTACATTTATTTTGAAAGATGAAGCTGCGATTATGGTAAGAGCCGCGTTACATTTCCGACGAGTGCTTGCGGTGTTCAGCCAATTTTAATGAATCAGAGCAGACTGCGCTTGTCGGAAGGAGGGACTTTGTAGAA